GGTTTCACAATGGTCTTCCTGGGGTCTCTGTAGAGGTCTTTGCAGAAAAACAGGGACCAAGATCAGAACTCGGTTTATAGTTCTTCAGCCTGCCAATAATGGAATGCCTTGTCCAAATCTGGATGAAGAAACAGGATGTGAACCAGAGAATTGTGTCTGAAATAAACAAAAGATAATCATTTAGATAATTTAAAAGTAGGATAAGTTTAACTAAATCTAAACTGTATGTCAGTCAATGTTCCTTATAATTCGGATATGCTGCACTATTTTGCTGAAAAGGTATATTAGACTCGTTTTGGAAGGTGTTGTTTAATATCAAGATTTTAGGGGGTTAAATTCCTAAAGTTTAGTATGACAACAGTACTTGAGCATTCACAGACCAAAAAACCCCAAATAAATCCGTGCTATACTGTAAGTTCTTGGAGTACCCTCTAGTGGTAGAAAAGAAGACATTTGGAAAGATTATACTTCACGCATGTAAAAATCTTTCAGTCACAAAATCTAAACTAATAACGTTCTTAAATACTGTAACTTGTTGATCTACAGCTATTTATACATAGAAATTAATTTTTTCTCTAAATTATGTTTTTATAATTTATTGGCATTTTTGTCGTCTTTCTAAACTTGTTTAACATGCTTTTCTTCAGAAACTACTTACTCAAGTCAGAATGGCCAGATGTTTGCAGAGTGATTAAGACAATAGTATAACTGAGTAAACTTGCCTTGAGACTTATGAATACATGAAAAGGTCCTTTTCTTTTTTTCTCAAAAGTTAGAAGAATATCTGTCACGAGGACACTTGGCCAATAAAATTGCTAAAAAAAATCAGAAGTCTGGGTACTAGTACAAAACCTCTGAGCTTAGTTAAAAGTGTCAGCTGAGATTTAAAATCTGACTGATTGTTGGTGTGTGTCCCTCATGAGACAACTATCTCAAAATTAACACTGTTGACCATAACATAAATTATATTATTGTCTTTATGTATGCAGTATATGTGTCCATGTTTCTTTAAATGTGTTCGCTGCTATTTGTGTTATTCTAACACTTTTACAGAGAAAACTTAACAATGTTTTAATATTATCTAAAATTGAGGTATACACAGATATAATAATAAAACACAATATGTCACAAACTGTTCCTGACTGCAAGTTTTAATGCTCAAATACCCATAATAAAATGACTGTAACATATGGCTTATAAAGAGTTGTGGCTATCAACTAGGAAAAGAATTTTGCAATAACATTGTTCAATAGAATATGTTTACAGTCAGCACACAAAGCTTTTACAGCATTGCAGTTTTACAAATATACAGGACAGATATTGAACAGGAAAGCTGATTTAAATAGGTTGTTTTGGGAATATACCAAATATGAGAAAATTTATTATGTACATAAAGGAGCACACTGTATTCTCTGTCAGGCTGAAACATTTAAAAGGTTCTCTATACACTTTTCCAGGAGATAAATCTTACAAAGACCCAAAGAAATTTGCAACCTTGTCAGACTAGACTAAGTTGATCCTGTAAATGCTGATAAATGCACAGTTATTAGAGCTACGTATAGGAATTTCTACACCTTGCATTCTTCAGACTCCCACTGTTTCCTCTTTTTCAAAATCGTTTCACCTACTCTTTCTATTATACCTCTTTCACCCCCCCGCCCCTCCAGGTTTCCCTGTTTCCATTCTATAACGGAAATAGTGTTATTACACTATCATTTTCATATTTTGTGTTTAGTTAATTTCTCTGCCTTTTCCATTTTTTTTTATATTAATTTTTACTCATTCTATGTTTACTTTTCTGTTAAACTTTTTTACTATATTGTTACACAGTTATCACCATCTTAGAAAACTAAACATATATGGAAGTATATATTTAAATATTCTCTGAGGACAGGAACTAATTTCAAATTGATTGATCAACTGGTGATAGAGTAAACTCAATAAAAGTCTTGGGCAGAAATCAGATGCAAGTCAAAATTATGACTTAGGGAAATCAAACCCATAAACCACAAGGTATCCTTGGAGGAACCTTCATGGAAGTTCTCTAAACACTACAGTATTGCTTCTTCACATGTCCAGAACAACTAGAAGGCTAGATCCAGTAGAAGAGTATCTGCATCTGTAATCGTGTATATGACCCGAATCTAGGATTTCAGTCCTACACGATATAATTTGATAGTGGAGCAGTCTTAGTGTTTACTCAAATTCCTGAATCCAAAAGGACACTGACGGAGAAGGAATGAGAGGTGAAGGTGGAGTAGAAAGGGAAGTGAATATGCAAAAGGCCAACACATTTCAGGAAACTCCAATTATTGATAAATATTTTTTTTTCTTTTAGAATGTTTACGTAAATGAATATTCACTGTGAGTTCCTTTAAGCAGAAGATTCCTATCCGGTCAGTTGCCTGGATATGTTTTGTGGGTTTTTTTAAGCAGTGACTTTAGGAGACTTTGGTAAATATGGCATCCTTTAAGGATGCCCTTGTGGCAGTATAATGTCATATATGGCCATAAATATAGTTCCAAGTATTCACTTTGCAGACATCAGGGACGGAGACATTTCTTGGCAAGGCTGTGGATACAGTGGGTTCTAGTGAAGCACATTCTAATGATGGAGGATATTTCTCATAACTTATCTTTATTAAACTCATTAGTGAGGTATGTGTTCCCCGTGTGGATATGGCTAGGCCTTTGTAGCTTTCACTTTCAGCATAGTCTTGGATTTGTCTTAAAAATTTTGTGACTGCAAAGCTCTTCCTTTTCCCTTACATCCAGTGTTACAGATGGCTGGTAGTGAAGATGCTGTGGTCCTAAATAAATGAGACTTAGGGAAGGAAATAGGTAAATTAACTTCTGGGTTAAACTAATCTCAGAAAACACTTTGGAAAGAAACTTGAAATTGATTTGTAAAGAAATTTTTTTAGCAAGAATGTTTTGTAGGAAGAATCGGTGTTGATGCCTTGGGAGATATTCTTGCAGAATGAACGACACAGTTAAAGGTAAGTGTAGCAGCAAAAAAAGTCACTATAGACTTGAACTGTGTTCCTCCAAAAACCATGAACACCAAATTAAATTCCTCCTGAGCATAGTGTACCTCATTACTGAGAACAACTTGTCCAGTACCTAAAGGAATTTAAGGGCAGTTAGCTGTGAACATATGAAAGCTCTTCCTATTATAGAATCATAGAATAGTTTGGTTGGAAAAGACCATTACGATCACCTAGTCCAACCATGAACCCAGCATTGCCAAGTTCACCACTAAAGCATGTCCCCAAGTAGCACATCTACACGTCCTTTAAATACCTCCTGGGATGGTGACTCCACCACTTCCCTGGGAAGTCTGTTCCAATATTTGACAACCTTTTCAGTGAAGAATTTTTTCCTAATATCTAACCTATCTCCTAGTAGGTAAGAATGCCAGCCGAAGCTGTGTATGTTCATGCTTTTCTATGGGCTGTGGCTTCTCTGCAGACATCCAAGACAGCAGCTTGGTGACCGATGACTGAGAAAAAAACAGGGTATTTTTGTAGATACCTCAGGATACAGGAAAGACTGATGTGATCTATGAACTGAACTGAAAAGTTCTCCGTGGTACCATAGCATAAATGTTGGTTGTATGAGCCTTAGGTGGACTAAAGGTGAGGGCAGACATTTCATTCTACCAAACCCTCCAAAATTACTGGGATGGATACTCAACGTGTGTGTGAAACTTACTAATGGCAGCTGGAGGCCCTGTTCCATTTTTCTAAGTAAATATGCCTTCCCACAACTGAGAAGAAGCTGTATTAGAGGGTCAACTCTGTACTATATAAGTGTACTGTGTATGTGGGCCAACTCTAACTGACCAAATCTCGTTCACAGAGCCTGCTATGAAATATTGCAGGCAACTGTCAAAATGGCACAGGCTCTGCTGTTAAAGATCATTTTGGGGAGAGACAATCTTGGATTCATTGAAAAATAGCTCTAATAGCCAAGTAACATAGCCCAAGATAAGCTTGGTCACAGAAACTTGTGTGTGCCTAACTTCCATAATGGAAGGGAAAGCATATGCCAGCCTTATCACTGAATGAGCACTGTCCCTATCAGAACATAATTGGAGTGCAAGCAAAAGATCCGAGTACTTGATGGTATTGAAGGCAAAAAAGTCCATTTCGTGGTACTCTTATTCCCAAGTAATCAAAGTACATTGGGAATATCTGATCTGTCATGAATGATCCAACTTAATAACTCAGATTATTCTGTGACAATATTTAACATACTTAGAAAATAAATTTAACACTTGATACAGCAATTCTGAAGTCAGTCAAATCCTGTTTAATGGGATATAGTATGAAGAAATTCTGTCCATGGTAATTTACAGGTATTGTGAATACCTGAGACAAAAAAGCCCTCAGTATGCTCCATGACAACCTGATCACCTGGAGACTGACTTATTTTTGTTTGTTTGAAGTCCAGCAGCCCTACAATGTTGACATTTGCTAGTCGAAAGTACTTGAATCCCTTGTAGTCCATGTGGGTTTTGCACAGGTGTATACATATGTCCAATGATTTAGGTTGGAAATTACAAGATTTCTTAACAAAAGAGGAGTGAAGCTCTGGAATAATCACCCAGAACAAATGCAAAATGTGAGTTAATAAGTTCATTTAATTTGAAAATTGAGCTGTTTATGGAAAGAAATAGCCAATGTGTTTGCTTACAGTGATCTGGGGAACCGATCTCAAGTATCTGAGAGGTCCTTTCCAGTTTCATGTTCTTCTATGTGTATAAAATAAAATTTTAATCTAGATGCTGGGAAAGAAGAAAGATTTTACATGTTATCTTTTTCATGTTATCTCATTCTGCAGAACACACTGTAGTTATTTATAAACGTGTAACCACCAGCTGCCTTTTCTCACAGGTTTGTTTTTTTTTTTTTCTCACTCAAAATACACTGATAAGCAGCAAACAAGGAACAACCACAGGACTCCATACATTTGTAAATAGTTATCTTCCAAAGCAGTACAACTGGGATACACCAAAACCATGAAAAGCCAATTAATAGGATTTCTTATGAACTTTTGGGTTTCTTTTTCACTCGCTTTATATTTTCACAGTGGAGAAAGAGAAGAGAAATGTATAATCGAAGACGTTCCCAGTGACACATTGGTAATTGGTAGGTACCTGTTAATGAGATGCGATGATCTAACTTATGCAATAATGTAACAGGAAAATCTGTGATTGATAAATATAGTAAAACCATGGTGATAAGAAAGAGGGCAAACTGAAAATAACTCCCTGCAGGGGCTAGTCATAACATCCTCACACATTATGTCTATCCATTACACAAAGAAATGCAGGTTTCCAGAGTGCTTAACTGACTAGACACAGACTATCTTCTAATTCTACAGCAGTGGAACTGCTGCTTCAGCGCGTGCTTCTGTACATTCTGACTGATTTACTCATTAATACCAGAATTTCTGTGACATGATTTTCCCCATATGAATAGGAGAGTTACTTTTTTGATTAACGCTGTTCTGGAAAGAAGCAATTCAAGATTTACTAAAGTTCCATTTCACCTTGGATATCACAAGCACATGAAATTTGTCTACAAGACTGTAAAATTAAGATTGAAAGGGGATAGAAAAAATAATATACAATATTCTTTTTTTTTTTATAAATAAAGTGATAAAAGTGAAAGACAATCCTAAAAATGTAATTTGAATACAGCACACACATACTTTTGGAGGTCTCAGCATGCCTTCTGTATGCTAATCTTGCCAGAGCAGTAGGAATAATCAGAAAATATGACTTGTTAATCAACCATTTTTGTAGTATTCTAGAACATTTTCTAGTGCAGTAAAAATTTATCACATTTCACACTGTTACAAAGTGCCCCCTGAGCAATTTTAATCATAAGCACTTGAAATTCATATATTGTTTTATTGTTAATCATTTATCGTATTTTTTGCTGAAAAAGCAATAAAAATCTTTAATATTAAGCTATGTTTTATTTAACAGATTTTTATCTATGTTTTTATTCAGGGAATTACAAAGTACAACGCTGGGATACACAAAAACAAGACTTTCTGGAATCTGCTCCTGGTTTGGGAATGTTTGTGACTGTCACAACTCCTTCTGCTGAGGTAAATATGCTTTATGACTGTTTCTGTAGGATTTATGAGTTGAATTTTAGCACTGACACTCTCTAAAAACAATAGACACTTTTGGGGAAAAAGTAAATTTACAGTCTACCAGCTGGTTCAGTATTTTGCTGCTGAAAGGTGTAAGTACCTTGTGATTTCTGTCAAAGTAAAAAGAAATCACAATGTTTGATAATGATGTGTGTGGGCAATTTTTGCAATTACTACCAGATTTGGGAAACTAAGTCATAAGAAATAGGAATTGGCAACTGAGAAAACAGGTTAGATAAAAAATAAAAAAAAATCACTAATGAAGTAAAATGGTGCAGAAGGTACTTGAACAGCAGAAAGGAATGCTGATAAGTAACTAAACTGCAGAAATAAAGATTACCATGAGGCTGTGTATAGTCATTATGCCCAGCAACTGCACATGTTGCCATGAGGTCCTGAGCTTTTTCAGCACCAGATAATTTCTTTCTGTGCCTAGAAAAGATCTTAGTTTTCAAACTTTAAATGCTTTAGAGAGCATTGGCTTTTGTACATTGCAGGATCTATAGCACTTCAGTGTTCACTGTGAGCTAAAAATGTTTATTTGTCTCTAAATCTATCCTGAAATTCAGAAAAATTTAATAATATCAGGAGGTTAATTGATTACCTTTTACATCCAATTCACAGTATTCACAGTTTTTTTATTGTTTTATTGATATTTATAATGCACATACCCGACACATATAATATCTAACATTACAGGTGCTACTGTCAAAACTGTATGGGCCAAAAGGAACATTTTCTTTTACATCCTATCTATCTGGGGAACATATTATCTGTTTACAGTCCAACTCCACAAGATTTGTGGCATTTGCAGGAAGTAAACTGGTAGGTGTATTTTTTAAATATCCTTTGTTGTAACAGCAAAAATTGTTTACAAACTGCAGAGATTGCAAACTGTATTAGAAATTGGTCTAACTTTTAGGTAGTGATTAAAGAAGACAAATCTAGAATTATGAGAATAAAGAGATGCTGTTCTGATATTTAAGAAGTAAAGATTAAAGAGGCAAAACTAATAACTATAAAGTGATCTAATGTTTGTACAGTGCTTTGAATGTGAAAGGTTCTGATCAATCAGAAAAACAGTTTGGTTCAAAAGTATAGATATAGAATCACAGAATGATTTGGGTTGGAAGGGACTGTAAAGATCATCTAGTTCCAGCCCCACTGTTATGAGCAGGGACACTTTCCACTAGATCAGGTTGCTCAAAGCCTCATCCAACCTGGCCTTGAACTAACACAAACACTTGTCATGAAGATATTCCATGTCTTCACTTAGATTGAATTCCTAAAGAAAAAATAACATTTTAATTTTTGAAAGATATTAAAATTAAGAATATATTAACATACTTGATATTGTCTACTGCCAACAAAGTTGGTCTTAATTCAAATTTTGAAAAAAAGAAGAGCAGTTAGAGGTGATATCATAGCTCTAATCTACTTCAGCAATTTCATAAACACTGTTTTGAAAATTTTATCTATATGCCTCTTGTCAACAGATAGTTGAATGCGTGGGAATTAATCGCTAGAGGCGTGGGGGGTTTTTGTGGTTTTTTTTCTTTTTTTTTTTGTTTTCCCTGTTGACTGCAAAAGAGGTAGCTAACCAACTAAATATAAACATCTAGCACGTCTTACACGAGGTAGGCCAAATTTCATCCTAGATGTATGCTTTGGGAACATGCAGATGACAGAGAACCAAGAAGACTTAACAGTGCTGAAGTGGGACTATTACACTGGAATAAGCAGGTGTTTTTATGAATTGATTTATGAAAATTAGTGGAAATTTAATCATACACATTGCAAAAGCACTTAGGTTCTAATAATAATAAAAAAAAAATATGTGGAGTTCATTAACTAGACAGGGTAAGGGGGATAAAGCATTGGTTGGTCGCATTTAACTACACACCATGAATGTGATTCTGAGGATATACCAGGAGATTTTGGTCTGGTATAGATACAGATGTATTAATATCATTTTACATGATGCATGTGCCAGGTACAGTACCGGTCATCTGATTTAAAAGAAGTGCACAGGTGCAGGGAAGGAGAACATTAATAGCACAAATATTAAATAGGGCATTTTGTTTAGCTTAAGATCACAGAAGTAAAAAAGGAAAATATTGCTCTTTATAATTATACCTGCAAGAATAAATATCACAAAAGGAAAAACATTCTTTAGGTAAGTTAAATCTCTAAGTGGTCTTCTGTAAGAACCAGATGCAGTGGTGGTGATCTGAACTGCTTCAAACCAAAGTTTAATAAATTGAAGGACTGAGGCTACCATAAGGTGAGATGGATGTTGGGATGTTCAGTTAGCTAACTCTAACAGAGCTAAAAGGAGATGTGCTCTTAATTTCTGGTTGATGTCTATTTCTATTGTGATAATACCAAGCTCTAGGATTTTTGCAGGTTATCTGTTTGGTTAAATGCTTACATTTTCTTTTAGGTACAAATTGTCTTCTCGGAGAACTTTCTCCCATCAGTTTTAGTAAAATTTTTAATTCATGCCAAAATAAGTTGTATAATATTGCCAGTTCCTCTTCTCTTTACTTTCTATGGCTCTATTGCTTGGCAGGTTTGAGGCATTTTTGCTATAGGTCATACAACAGCTTATAGAATATTGGGAGGTATTTCATACCAGATAAACTATGTGAAAGAAGAAATATACCTCATGGATGGTTCAGCTTTAATACATATGATAAACTGCAAATCATGATTCATCTGGTATCCTTCCAGTCTTATATTCCTAACTGTTAGTGAAGAAAACCTAGAAGTGCATCAATAAAATAATTTCTGCAGTGCTACTGAAGAATATAATTTCTGCAATATTAGGATGGAATGTGAAATACAATGAGCAGTCCTAATGGTGCTCATTTTTTAAACTAATTTGGACAAAGAACAGAAAACATTTTCATGGTGGTTGAATCAATACTAGCATAAAATAATGCCCTAACAGTAGCAAAGATTTTAAATTTGTATAATTAATTTAAAAATAAAATTAAGAAACACTCATATTCTACCTGATTCTAATATTAGGAAAGATTTCTATAAGCAATTAAAACTATTTTCCTATAATGAACTTAAAGGGAAATTATCCAGTTTCTTTTTTTCTAAGGAATTTTGAAAACACAGAAGACACAGTAATTAGTAATTATTTTTTTCTGTTTGCAGCGTATCCATTTGGACATTAGAGTTGGAGAACATTTTTTGGATGAATCCGTTCTTCAAGCCAAAGGCAAAGTGAATGAAGTTAATGTTAGACTAGAAAATCTAATTGAGCAAATTCATCACATATCCAAAGAACAAAACTATGAAAGAGTATGTATGTTCCCTAATGGAAATGTTTAAACTATTGTACATAGGCTTATTGATTTATAAAGTATTATGATGTTTATTATTTAATTGTAGTGTTATTTTTAACTAACTCACAAAAATCTACTGGTATTTAACCAATATAGCCTTCATTACCTTGTAAAATATTTTTAAGCTCTAACATAAAAACTAATTAATCACTGTGAACTCATGCTTAATAGCAACAGGTGTTCTTTTAAAGCAGGAATTTCCAAATATAATTTTTCTTGGTCAGAGGCAGTAACAGCAGCTGAGCAGGTGGCAGGTACTGTTGCTGGTGATGTTGCCAGCTGCTGTTTCCTTGCTGCTCTGTAAACTTTATTGGAGTGGGTAAGAAAATGACTGAGTGTATATTTATATACCTCCATGTAGTTAGGAATAAAGCCCTCCTTCAAACAACTGTATACCCGTTGTCTTCACTTTTCGATATGTATGCAGGCAGTCACACTGTGTTTGAAATACATCAACTAGTTACTTAAAAAATTAAATCTGGCTGCAAAAAGGTTCTTGACTGCAATGTGAAAGTGACAGCAAACCTAAAAACCTTAAGCATGTAATAATGGAACATATTTAGCACAATATATGTTTTGTGAACAAGAGAAGGCTCTGTTTGCCTTTCTGCTTCAGCACGCTCCATGTCTGCTTCTCAGTTTTGATTTATAAAGAGGTCCACTTAATGGAGTAGAACAAACTTTCATTTTTATCAATACGGAAAACCATGCAGAAGACAGATGCATGTCTAGGTACTCAGATAGCAGCATGAAACATACAGATGTCAAAAGGTAATAATTATATTTTTTGTTTTTTCTTCAGGAGCGTGAAGAAAAATTCCGGAAGACAAGTGAAGAAACCAACAGCAATATTTTATGGTGGGCTGTTGTACAAACACTAATCCTCATTTCCATTGGAATCTGGCAAATCAAATCTCTCAGAGATTTCTTTATCTCTAAGAAGCTTGTTTAAGTCTTATAAAGTAAATGCATAGATTTGAAAATTGCACACCATATAACCTAATATCCAAAGAAACCCTTCTCTACAAGAAAACTAGTTGTATATAACTCTTAAGCTTCTTTCATCTTCTACTCTGGTTCTTACTTTAACTCTGGTTTCTCCATCTCTATTGCAGCCTCTGGCATCCCATTACATTTTACTCCTTGAATCCCATCTTCTATTTGCTCCTTTTCCTCTGCAGATGTAAAGCTACATCTAGAAGAAGGGCTCAATGACTAAAGCAACATTTAAGTTCAACTTAGGATTGTCATATCTAAAATAGAAATCTAAAAAGTTTCCTAATTTTTCAAAGTTCTCTACTGTTGTTTAACCCCAGCCAGCAACTAAGCACCATGCAGCTGCTCACTCACTCCCCCACCCTTGGTGGGACCGGGGAGAGAATCAGAAGGATAAATTGAGAAAACTCATAGGTTGAGATAAAAAGTCTAACAATTAAATAATAATAAATTGTAAGGAAAAGAGGAAAAAACAACAAAGAGAGAGAGAGAGAAAAAAAAAAACCTAAGGAAGATAAGTGATGCAAATGAAAACAACTCTTCACCCCCAATGGACTAATTCGCAGCCAGTCCCTGAGCAGCAGCCCCCCTGCCAACTTCCCCCCTAGTTTTATTGCTAAGCATGATGTCGTAGGGTGTGGAGCATCCCTTTGGTCAACTGGGGACAGCTGTCCCAGCTCTATCACCTCCCAACTTCTTTGTACACCTCTAATCTACTCACCGTCGGGACAGTGTGAGGAGCAGAACAGGCTTTGGCGCTGTGTAAGCACGGATCAGCAGTAACTAAAACATCAGTGTGTAATCAACACTATTTTCAGCACAAATCCAAAACATAGCCCCATACAAGCTACTATGAAGAAATTTAACTCTATTCCAGCCAAAACCAGTATATCTACTTGCTTAGTAACCTTATTTTATACTGGCACAAGCAATTCAGCACTTCAGACTGACTAGGGTCCAGATATTAGACAGAGAAACAACTATGGTGCTTAATTTGGCGTGAATGTCTTGAACTCAACCTATGTATGTGTAATGCTAAGCTTTTCCTCAAATATAACTGTTACTGTTTCCTTTTAAAATATACTAAGTTTGAAGTGACAGTGGAGTTCACTATTAATATTACGATCAGCAGTTGCAGCATTTACTGTGGAAGAGAGAGACTCAGACTTACTTTTTGCTCCCACATAAGGCCTAAACATTAGGCTATAGAGTTGAGACCTGACCTTTCTCACAGTTGTTTATGTAAATTATAGTCTTCAGGAAGTACGACAAAGTAAACCAAATTACAAGTTTCTTGGTAAACACTGAATTTGTGTCTATTTATTTTGTCTTAAGTTATTCCTACACTAAATTCTTCAGTCTGTTTCTGCATTCGAAGAATTATTTTTATTTTAATTATGAAGCAACTGTAACATGACTGTCTAAGGAACTTACCAGTTTTTTACTTAATCGTGTATTTCTATTTCACTTATTGCAGCTTGGTTGAATATATCTTTATGCCTTAATTTAGCTAGTTTATATACAACTAGCAGAGTAGTTACAGTATCATGCAATTAAAGTCAAAAGCTGTGGTTAAAAATTCACATAATTAGCTTGACAAAGCAGCAGTAGTGTAAGAAGGAATTGGAGGGGGTTATAGCATGACTCACCTCAGCACTTGGTTAGCATGTAAAGGGACATTATTGAAAAAGTACCTAGAGAGCACTGTGATAGCAGAATATTGTGATTTGGCTTCCTACTTGTCATTCCAGAACCTTCGTTAGCCTAAAAGGTAGTGAAAGCTGAAATATCTTTAGACTAATTATTGTTTTAAAGGCATTGCTTTCTTTCTTTTTTCTATCTTCTCATCTTTTGTTTTCATTAGCAAGTACATTATATTGCCCTGTAAGTTCACTTACAATTACAGTACCAGAATAAAGATACAGCTGGGAGTATGTAAGAATCTCCAAAGTTGATACAAAGTAGAGACAAAAAGCAATGCTCTATGGACCAAATAAAATAAAATCTCATAAATCTACTCACTGACATTTGTCCTATATTTAAAAATTCTGAGACTTTAGAATTGTCACTTGAAATGCCCAATAAATGACTGTTATTAAATACACTTCTATAGAGCACTCACTTACAACATGTCTTGTAATAACATCTTTGGTGGTGGGAAAGAAGGAAAGATGTGTTAACAACCATATTGCATATGAAGTCCAAGAAGAAAGTTTAATAAAGCATTGCTACAATGTTATGGTTCAGACTCTAGCTGGTATTTAGTGTAAGGCTTCTAACTACATCCCAATGACAAACTTAACTCATCTCACTTACAACACTTAAGCTTTTAAACCAAAAGGGTCAGAATTTATAAAAGAGCTGATTATGCTTCTCAGTATTAATTAGGTCTATACTCAAACCAGCACTGAGACTTGGAGCCTTGACTACAGCTTGAGAGCGCTTCATTCTTTATCTATAATAATAATAATTAAATAACTTTGCTTTGATGAAATGTTTTCAGTCTCCTTCAAGATTTTTTAATTAACTCTATAAAGCAGAATCTGAATCATAGCTCTTTTGGGAAGCATTTTGGGAGCAGTAGTCTTCATGAAGTTAAAAGCCGGAGATTCCTCCTATGCAGTCTGTGGCTCTGTCACACTCAGAGCTCCAACCTCCACAGCAAGTAGGTCTGTAAGGGAATTTTCCCTTAAAATTTTCATCAAGGGAAATTAACAAGCCCTGGGGTTTTTTCAATGTAAAAAAAAAAAAATAATAAAAAAATAAAAATCAAAGCTCCTTGCTTTGCACATCTTTTCCCCCACCGAAAGAAGGCAACATCAAACCTGTGGCAGTAAATGAATAACCTTCCCAGCTTCCTGCATTTAAGAGAGGAAAAAGCCACTACCATTTTCCACACCCCACACGGGGCCTCCCGATGGCAGCCCCTGCTGCATGGCTGCCTCTGGCAGGAGGACAGGGCTCCTGGCCCTGGATCCCTGGTGGTTCAGCTGCCTACATGTGAGGACAGGAGGGGGAAATCTCTCAGAGAGGATCCCCTGCCCGGGTACCCTCTCCAGTTTGTCAGTGAGAGACCAGAAATACCCCTTTTTTTGGGGTGTGACGGCCAAACTCTGCTGCCCTCAGCCCAC